CTCTGGAAAAATCTTACTAAATATATTTGTCTTTCTCCCCTAACCCATTTCTCCTTAGCAGTCCATTGACATTCCTGGTAACTTGATGCCTCTGACAGGATAGAGCAAAGCTGTAGTGTAGGCCTGTGTCATCATGTGACTTCAGTGAGGAAATATATATCATACCCAGGAAATTAGGGAACAAGTGAGATATATACCTAGTGCTTAAACAGAAAGAAAAAAAAGAAAGACAAATTACCCATTCCAACAGGAATGTTTTTGCATGGAGTCAGACCTAATTTTGATGGTAGGAACCAAAATGATGTGGTGGACAGGGAACATTAATCTGGTAAATCTTCTAAAATATAACATTAGAAAAAATTAGTGCTATAAATTTAAAATGGAGAAAGCTAAGGTGGGATTAACCAATGAGTCCTCTTAAGTCTGAGCCTGATAGCAGGGACAATAAAACATGATCATGACAGAGCAACTTCTATCAAGCACTCGACTTAATATTGCTCACCCCACTCTGCTCTGTGCATTTGATCTCAGCATGAGCTTTTGGGTTTTCTTGAAGGGGGAAAAGTGAGGAAAAGCCCACAAAACCAGTATGTCCTTGCATGATGCATGAAGTACAATCTCCACGATGAAAGTGCTAAATCAGTACCATGGTATTATTAATAATGAAAAATGTTTAGTAACACAATTTCGGATAGTGCCCCAGCCCTGGGGTTTTATTTGTGGTAATCTGTTTCTTCTTTAATTCTCTAGAACAGTTCTTGCTCCTGATTTCAGTGGGTGTCCTCATTTGACAATGTGTCAGCTGTGACTTCTCTACTGTATGCTGCAAAGAGCTAAGCAGTGGAATTTGTGGTGACATCTAATGTTGCTCTCCAGGATAAAAGTAGCGATTCACAAAGTCCAAGCAGTGCAGGAGGTGGGCAACACTTCAAAAGTTCTTTTAGTAAAACTGTGCTTCTCTAAATTCCTGTCTGCTCCTTCTGCTTTACGTGCTCACCTGCAGCACCAGGGCTGATTCATGGATACATCATTCAGCACTGTCGGAATAGCTCAGGGTTCAGCTTTTGCTTTCTGTTTATTGTCAATAAATCCACATAATTTAGCACAGACCACTAGCATGGTTTAAAACCAAGCACACCTCAAACTGGCATCAACTACTTGGAGCCCTTCTGCAGAATACAGCATGAAATACAATTTGCTGGTGTGTAATGTGAAAATCACTGGCAAGACTTTACGCATGAGAAAGCATTTGGGGAAATTAAAAATCTTTTGCTTGCCGTAAGGGCATTCTGTACAAAGATTCTGGATTACAGAGTTACAAAATCCTGCTCCACTGAAGCAAGTGGATGCAGAAAATTGGGAAAACATGGTTAACACCTGAGACAAGGCATGTTCCTGCCAGCTGTGGCACGTCTCTTGCATTTATGAACGCCAGCAAGTGCCTCAACGTATTTGTTTATTTAGCCTTCTGTCTGTTTATTTATGAAATGTCTAAATGTGTCTGTTCTCTATTGTACAGGCATTACAAAATATTTACCTTTATTTTGATACGTGATGTTGTTTCATTGGAGCAGGTGCCATGGAATAATAACATTAAGTGTCAGAGACAGGGTGCCTAAATTTTTTTTTCCTACAGAAACACCTGTGGTAGTTCAAATGTTAAATTTTTTCCATGTGTTGAGTTTGCAAGTACAGAAGAAAGAGATGTATTTTCAGACCAAAATTAGACTATGTGGTAATACACAGTAAAGTACTTTCTCCCGCGGAAGTTGTGGCAAATTTTAAGTTAAACAATGACTATTAAGTTTCCATAGAAGAAAGTGCAGTGGGATAAATCTCTCTTAGCAACCTGCATTGTAACTCTACTTGGTGGGGGAGCAGAACCAACAAGGAAACAAGAAAGTGGCCTGGAGTACAGCATGAACAGAACTGTCTGTCCTTAGGACATACAATAACAGGCTGAAACTGTCATAAACATTCTTTATTTCCCTAAGGTATGGATAGGTGTGTCTTTGCAAGTCTCAGTGGAATCAGGATTTATTGATCTGGAATCTCTTAGAAACACCTGTGAGGTTCAGTGTATTATTTTCTTATAAAAAGTATGTTTCTTTTTGAAAATGAAATGCCTATCACGCTTATAAAACAGACAAAATGTTATTGATTTTCCACCAGGAAGGTTATGTTTAAACTTACCTAGGGAAAAAAAAATCAAGATGCCTGGTAAGGCATTCTGCTTTTTTTTTTCTTTTTTTAAAAGTAATTTCTCTTGACTAGTCCTGATGCGGTCAGGCTTAATTCCTTTCATCAGGAAGGGAAAAATGGAACCTGTGCTTGATGGTGTATTGGTAACTAGTCAATCTCCAAAAGAAGAACAGGCTTGGTTAGGATTTTTTTTTGGGGGGTAGGGGTTTGTTTGTTTTTTCTTCCCTGGAGGGGAAAGAATAAGAAATAATTTTGGTCTCTTAAAAACGAAAAGGCAAGAAACTGATTAGTCCTTATGATTTCAATAATGTTTGACTCGCTGCATTGTGACGACACTGTTTGATTTTTCTATTTGCTTTCCCCCCTTTGAATGCAAGGCTGGGATCTGTTGTTTCTGATTAAACGTGTGCTGAGCCTTGTTGTGGTGTTAGAAAATTGCACTCCCTGCACCTCCATTCCTCGTGCTCTCAGTTGCCCAATGTGGAAGTTGTGGCTCTATGGGGATTTACTGTTTCCTCTTAGGATCACCTGTGCTGTGGCTTAAATAAAAGTTTGTTTCTTCAGCTGTCTGACTTCGGAGTTTATCTGACTCAGGCTGACCCCTCAGTTTTATAACTAGCTAGTTTATTTGCTTGTGCAAATTGGGTTTTCTTAGACAGAAATATAACAGACTGTAAAGAGGCTAGTCTTTTGATCATTTCACCTCTGGAAGGGGGAAGGCTACAGTGCCTTTCTGCACTCACTGGGCACTCCCTGGGTTGTTAATAACATTAAGTTACTGTTCCTGAACACTCTGTGGTTGGATTTTTTTTTTTTTTCAAACTGTGTTACAAAAGTCTGGTGTGCAGAAAAATGTTGTTTCTTCTGTCTATGCTAGGAATATTGATAGGGTTTAGAATCTAATTACTTCTCTATTTGTAGGAAATACAGAGCCTTTGCTTAGCAACCAGTCTGCCTGGTCTTCTTTAAGTATATCTTTTTTTTTAAGTATATCTTTAAGTATATCTCCAATTCTTCTTTAAGTATATCTTTGTGCTGCACCTATAGCCGTGCACACAGGGAGGCATGAGGTGGAATGCTGGAAGAAAAGGAGGCGTGAGCACTTAGTGAAAATGGTGCCAGTTTTTCCTCGATGGGCCTCGAGCCTCCAGTGCAGCCCAACAAAGCTGAGAGTGATGCGTCAAAATATCTTTTAATAAACAACGTAGGCAGTAGGAAATAATACTGGTCAGGGCTTGTTTTTCTGGCTCAGGGCCTCATTCCAACCTGTTGCAACCAGCTATTGAACATCTATGGGGACACCCCCACACAAGAGGCCCCACGGAGGAAAGGAACTTTTACATTTCTGTTTGACTGGGATCCTTGCCAGTGGCTAAGTTCAAAGTGCAGTTTCCAGTAATTTGCTGTTACTACTCCGCGTATTTGATAGGCCAGGACAGAAGCATGCAACCCGAAGTAATATTTCCTGATTTCTGACATTTCTCAAGATATGAATGGAGGTTGCTGAGGCACTAAAACTCAGAAGGGTTTTCCTGACTCCAACACCTTCGACGCTTTCCTTTTCTCCTCTTGAGCCCCCTTCCCTCCCCCCATCTCCTCCCTTTGCTTGCATTCCCTGCTGTTGTCAGTTCCGTATTTGGATGGCATTCATATTGATTGTTTCCCTATGCAAACACTGTGTGGCTGGTCTGATGCAACCAGAAGAATCCTATTGATTTACTGAGTGTGAGGGTTATTTAGATTGATATCCTTCTGGAGTAGTGATAACGCTTTCATCTCGCCTCAGAATTATGGTTAACCTTTCCATTTTGGGGGAAGGGCATGGAAATGAATTTCCTTTGCCCTGTTGACTGTGGTAAGAGGGAGGTAAGCACAGGGAGAAGCCAGTGGAATAACTACTATTCTCTCTAGCATGTGCATTTGTAGGCCATGTGTATGCCATTGTGGTTATGGAAGAAGCATCCTCTGTAATTAAGATTATATAAGCATTCCCATTGTAATCCTTTGTTTTCAGCTCTCCAAGACTTGCCTCTTTTGGGCCGATGTTTTCCTGGCTTGTTCTTTGCCATGTTACAACTTAATTATTTATTTTCCAAGCAGGGATGCAAATGTTGGAGAGAGCTGAGGAAATGGACTTTTCTTGCCCAGTTGAAAACAGCTCTTGACTTTTTTGAAAATTAGATCCAGAGTCCAAATGAGCTTTAAGTAGGAAGGCTGTGACCATTGATGAGCTTTTGGGGAATGCTCTTTTAATTACTGAATAATCCACATTTGTGCAAAAGGTAATGCAGATGGGCTGTGTAAGAGCAGAGATGAGGTTGGGAGGTCAGGCTTCAATGCTTAAAATCCTAATTCTCCTTTTTTTTTACAGCTTAAGTCTGCAGACTTCCTATGTCTGCAAGGGTGTGGGGGTCCCAGTACAGCTACCCACAAAAGCAGAGTGGTAAGAAGTTTAAGGGTGCAGAGTTCAGTTGTAACTGCCCTCCTGCAGCAATGTCAGTGCTCACAGGAACAAAAGCTGGGTGTTGAAACATGTGCTGGTTTTGCACTGAAGCTTCACTTTTCAGCTGAAACTGTCATCTAACTTCTGTTTTCAAAACCAAATAAAATTCCTCTGACTAGTATATAGCTTCAGCTTTCAAATAAATAAGCAAGCAAATACCTTTTCTTCCAGAGAGCACTGACAGGTGTTCACACAATCCAGGCACTCATGAGGTTTTAATCATTAAACTAAACAGTTCCTTGAAAGCAGAGGAATTTGGAGTTAATTCTGATCTTTATACTTGTGCTGATCACATCCACTCCAGTGTGTCCATGCAGTGACATCCACGGGCCTGCCTAAGCAGCAAGTAGAAGGAAACAGTGAGTACATATTTCTGAGCTGAACGCTTCAAGCACTGTAACTGGAACTGCATTATTCGTGATTAGTGCCTTTTTGCCTGATGTTTAGTCCAAAATCCTCTGGAGGGGCAGTGGGAGAAGGCACAGAGAGGCAAATAATCGCAAGATGCTCTGTGGTGGGAGCTGATTTGCCCACGAGCGCCGTGCGTCGCTGGTACCAGGCCGTGTGTCATGTGGCCGGCAGCTGTGCTCCCCTGCCGGATGCTCAGCCCTCTTCCATAACCAGCTGCAGGGCCCTGGCCTCCCTCTCTGTGGATTTTTAGCCAGAGAGATGTGGAAGGGAGAAGGCTGCAACCTGGTCCATGTGTTGGGGGTTTTGTTTTATTAATTATCATTTAATTAATTTTGTACAAGAATAACTCACCGACGCCTGGCTGCGTAAGTTTGTTAAGCCCACAGTTTCCTGTGGGTGACAAAGCCTCTGGCTGCGTTACAAGCACCCTGAACTGATCAGAGAATGTTGGGTTGCATCATGAGACCAAACAGCAGGTAAACAGAGGGAGCATGCTGTGTTCAAATGAAATAACTCCTCGTAAACTTGGAGCATTGCAGTGAACTTTGTTGCTTAGTGGTTTCTTGCGCAGGAGAAGCACCAGAGATGTTACAGTGAAGGGTTACGACCCTGAAACTGCAGTCTAACTCTGTTGAGGAAGATGCAGGGCTCGCTAGATCCCACAGGAAGTTTTCTATGTAGTCCCTTGTGTCTTCATTGTTGATATATGAAATGAGAATAATATTCTAGAGGCTGTGTTTGGGTTCCATAATATTTGCTTGAATGTGAATTGTACCGAGGGAGTTGGGTTTGTCCTTTGAGATCATCTGTGCAAAACAAGAAGCTGTGAAGGAAGGAACGTGTCCTGTTGTTCACTGTAACAATAAACATGGAAAATTATTCAATGATCTGTGAAGCTCAGTGAAATTTATGAGAACACAGCAGCTGTCACACTAGATTAGATCAAAGATTATTGTGAGTAAGTATCCTGCCTCCAGCAGAGGTTGGTGAGAGTGGGATGGGGAAAGGGCCTCAGAAAATAGATGTATATTTAGAATTATCTTTCCCTGCTCTATCTTGTCAGCTTCTAACAAAGAGTTGTGTAGCAGCTTCTGAGGCTGACATGTGTTTGGTAGCTTCTCTTGGATGTATTTGTTGTTCATTCCTCTGATCTCCATTTGAACCTGTGTGCTGCTTTGCCTCGACCAGCCCCTGTGGGCACTGAGTTCCACACTGTAATTGTTTTATGAAAAAGCATTTCCTTTTGTTTCTAAATTGCTGCCAGTTTAAAACAGGCTTCCCGACTTCCTTTATTACATACAGTAAATAATTCCCTTTTTTACCACATCATTCCATTTCATTATTTTTCAGATGTTGATTCTGTCCCCTCTTAGCCAGCTGGCATGTTCTAATTTATTTAGTTTCTTCTTGTCCGGAATTTGTCCTTTTTTTGTTATTTTCCATGGTGCCTTCTCCCTTAATCTTTCCTGGTTTTTCTGCGTGCTCTGTGAGATGGTGTGGAGGTGAATGCAGCACTGTAATCAAAGGGCCCTAATGAGTAACCTCCTGAGGGTGCTTGGATGAGCAAAACGCCTGTGGACTTGAGCCAAAGGTTGCACTGATTAGCCTGGGAGGACCGGTGCTGTCAGGCTTTGTCTGTGTGGTGTCAGAACAAGATAAAGGTGTACAAGTGCTCCTTGTTACCTGCCTTGAGCTCAGCATCTCTCCCTTCTGAAGTCACAGCTGTGATGCCAAGGCTTTGGGTGAGGCGTACTTCAGGCTCCAGGACCTGAAACAGTAGGTGCCAAAAGAAGATGAGACCGGCCGTGGTGGGGTGATGAAGGTTTGTGTCACACTGGGGAATGAGGGCAGAAGTTCCTAAGGCATTCAACAAATGCTCCCCACCAAACCCCACAATCCATAAATGGGTACTTTTTTGGAGTTTTTCACAACCCCTTTGGGTTATTTGCATACATGGATTTTTGCCCTTAAAAAGTGATTTTGTAGTGGAAAGTGGGCATGTCTTTGAGACTGCTCTCAGATCTTGGCCTCATGGGGCACTGCAAGCCCTGACAATTCAGTAACAGCCCTTTGCACAAGCCTTGCAGTGCAGCAAAAATTCAAATGGTTCCTTTTGTGGTGAGGTTACAAGTCAATAACTTGAGCTCGGATTGTGTCCATATCCGGTGAGGAGTGAGGATTACATCCCCCCCTCCCCCCCCCCCCCCCCCCCCCCCTTTCTCCTCGCAGTCCTGCCTAACAAATCCAGACCCATTCCCCGCAGGGAGCCCAGGCGAAAGGAAGGGAGTGTCGTCCCCTTGGGAGCTGTTACTGCATCCGCTCCCCCCCGGAAAGAGGAGGGAGGAATTCCGACAATTCCTTGCCAAGCTGTTCCAAGGGTAGAGCACTTACACCCCACCAGCTAATCAGGGCTGTTCCTTAAGGCTTTATTTTAGCATCTGGACTTCAGTAACTTTTTTTAAGCCTAGTTTTGTACTGAGGATTACTGTGAATTTAGATCTAAACCACTGCTTGAGTTGCACATCCAAAATAAGCATTGTTAACAAAAGCCAAGTGCCTTATGCATTTTATTCAGTGCTAAGAGCAGCTTGACTGCTAATATTTCATGTTCTGGAAGAAATGGAGTTGCAGTGTTTCGAGCTAATTCTGGGATTTTGAAGCACATCCTGCTTGGCAAACTGTAATGCCCATGGTTGTGCCAGTGGTGTTTAGTTTGAGGCCAGTGAGATGCAGGTGCAGAGAGATACAGGAGAGAATCCTTATAAGAAGGCAAATGTGCCCTTTTCCATGTTTGTTTAATATTGCACTCTTAGTTTTTTGAAGTGCCTTTGTGTATAATGTCTGCCCATGTTACCTTTTAACATTTTTTCCAGGTCTGCTACCGTTCAAATAAATCATATGGCTGAGGAAGAACTTGTCCTGCCTCCTCCTAAGGCATGTAGGCTTAATCCTTTTGCTGCCTAAATCACAGTCATGGTGTTAGGAAGGTTTAAACAAAACTCTGCTGTACTATATCCCAGCAGTTACTTGGGAGAAATATGTGGAGAAAAGGGGAGAAAGGTGAGAAAGGGAAAGAGAAGATCACTTACCTCTCTTCTCTCGCTGTGCAAGTCCAGCCTGAGTGTGTGCACAGAGGAGCTTGGAGTTTTTCCCTTTGCAGGAATCCATGAGCACAACTGGGGAGAAGCAAGCAGGACTGAACTAGCCCGGAAAGTGGATTGCTTTGTGTGCCACAGTCGTGTGTCTCTCCAGCTCCGGCCGGGCGTTCTGGCTTTGTGTGACAGATAGCTACATAAACAGATGGAAAGCTCAGTTTTCCTTGCATTTCTTTTGCCTTTTCTGCTCTAGGCTTCACAAGGAACACTATTTTTTTTGTATGTTGAACCAAAGGACTCCTAAGCGAAGGAGCAGATTATTTGTTCCGCAGCATGGATGTGGGTGAAAAATGCAGAGTCCTGGGTGTAGCCCGGTTCAGAGCTGTGCAGTGCATGGGTGTAGCAACAGCTTCCACTTGCATGGGTGCCTTTTTGGCAAATACAGGGCTAGAGAAAGAAGTGGAACAACTCTCCCAGTGTGTTGGAAGACAAGGTCCAGATAAGTAGTGTTAGTAGCCAGTTGGGAGGGCATTTAATGAGCAGGTGGAGAGCATCCTTTCTGGGTGCCGGATCTGAGTATTGGAACAGCACTGACCTTGGGCACACTGACTTTTACAGTAGAGTAATTAATAGGAATGGGATATGCATATAAATGGAACCTAACTTAGTGATATCTGGCTGTAATCCCTTTGTCACCACCTCCTTTATTGTCTAACACACAAAGGTATGGATGTCAAAACATAGGTGCAAAATGATTCTGAATTGCCTTTCTCATTTGTTTACCCTTCTAGGGAGAAAGTGGTGCTGATGGATGTAGAGTTCTGTAGAGCAGTAAAATCATAATTTGATTATGTGTATAATGTGATATATTGTTGTTGCTTGAAAGGTAGAAAAATGGCCATCAGGAATCAAAGCTTTTGATTGCAAATTACTATTCTCAAAGCTTTTAATTGTAAATTAGGATTCTAGGTGTAAGTTCTGTAGGGTCTTGATTAGATCTGCTGTCCCCTCAGCAGCCTGGGATATTGATTAGTTCACAATCCCCAGCTGTCTCTAATAATGGAATCAATCTATTAGCTGTATGGTTCTGCTAAAATTATTTGCAATACAAGAATGTTTAGAGTTGCATTTGCATGGTTATGGCTGTTAAGGGGGGATGAACAGATCAGATTGCAGTGTTGCTTACAGAGTCAGAAACATGGGGTAGTGTTGGCTTATAGCTTGTTCTTTTGGAGATTGTTGTAATGTGCATAGTGAAGATTAGGGAAGCTAAAGAGATAATACAGTGATCTGGTGTCTAGGACACTGAGCTGTCTGGAGGGGGACACCAGCTCCTTGCTCTAGTGAACATTTGGAATATTAATTTCTCACCTCATCTTTCTTCTCTTGTCATGCTGTATGCACTTTTCTTCCCCTATCGCCAGTCTTTGGGGATATGGAAACTGTAGGAAAACAGCTGTTGGCTATGCTGGGGATGTCTGCTTTCCCTACCTGCTGCCAAGAAGTCTTTTTGAAAGATTTCTTACCCTGTGATCACACCCAGCATGTTTTCTTGGAGCAAGGCTTGCAAGTGCAGTAGGCAGAAGAAAAGTTAGCCTGAAAATCCCACCAAAATAAATTTTAAAAAAGGAGCTGAGAAAAGCAGTGTCCTAGGAATCAAATTCTGAATTTATTTGCTGATGAAAATCTAGAGCCCTGCAGGATTAGGATTAGCTAGGTCAGGGTGTGAAAGCAGATGGTGCTACCAGTGAGAGATCCCCAAATCCATCCTTTGGATTTAACTTTGTAGGTTAACTCCTAGAAAGATGCAATGTGCTAACCACACAGTTAAGGTCAGAGCATCCCTTTCCTAT